TTGTTGTTGTTGTTGTTGATGTTTTCTTTGTCTTCCAACTGCCTAAGTGCAAGTGATCTTATATGTGGTACAAAAACCATTAATTTAATACGTTAATTCTTTTGTAGCTATGACTACTTGCAAATCGTTATTAAACCAAAAGTGGAAGAAAAACTATGCGGTAATAAGACTGGATCAACTGGTGAGCTTTCAGCAGCTGAAACCGACAGGTACGTGGAGTTGACGTTCCACACAGACAACAAAAATACAGACAAAGGATTCCATTTAGCCTACCTTATGCTTCAAAGTGGTAAGTACCATGGGAATTAAAACGCGTAATAATACCATATTTCAGGCCTTTTAACTTTTTAAAATATGAACCATGATTCGACCAGGTATAAGAATCAGGATAAGCGATATAACTACCGAATAGACATCACAGTACAACTTCTGGTATACAGTGCTATGCAATGTACAAAAGACCATGTGGATAGTCTGGATAGTAGTCTGTGAGCAGGCTCACCTTTGCGCCACGCGCGCGAGCGGCGAGCAGCAAAGCGATCCGGCGGGAAGGAGTCTGGTAAAGAGGCGCCAAGAAAGTTTACCAGCATCATCAAAGACCAGACTGCCAAAGCAAGATCACTTGGAATCAAGTGTGTGTCCTTGTTAGACATAAACTTCGACGGTTTTTCTTCGACAACAACTGGCATCGCGGCCGAGGTGACAGACTGCAGTCAACATCAACAACGGATATCGCGCCTGCATGTTATGAAAAAGATTTACAATTTTCCCGAGACGAGAACTCTAAGCTGCCAAAGTGTCATGCTTCCGGTGAAAATTAATTGGCTTATTTTTTCTGCGGTTTCCTTGGTGGAAATGAAAAATTTGCAAAGATAAGAGCAGGCTCACTTTCTCGTCTCGCGGCTTAGCCGCTTGATTTCGCGCGCGCTTGTGCTCGTGCTCGTGCTCTAAAGTGAGCCTGCTCGCAGGCTATGTGGATCAGGGCGCTTATATGTAGGGCGGTGAAACGAGCGGGTCCGAGCAAAAAGGTGTGATGCAGTAGACTGGGGTCTACTAAAACGAGCAGATTCCGCTAACTTACACTGGAACTTAGATTTCTAAAGAAATTCCACGAAACCCTCTTCTGTATGAAGAGGGAAGGTTTTTGGCGA